TTTCTTCTCAAAAATTGTACTGGAGTAGTTATATATATACCCTTTTGATATCTAACGGTGTAAAACAATCAATCTTTTAACTGATGAAGCCGTGAGTCCCATTCGACTCCAACTTTATCGTTAGGGAATTATTTAACGCAGAAAAATGCGTCGATGTCGAAAAGACGTAAACCGTTATCCATTATCAATCATCCTTGGATCTGCGGACTAAACTGCAGGCGTTTTCGCAATTTCGTTTATCGCGGCCGATCGCAGCCGAAAATAAATTCCGTAGGCCGTCTCACGTTACCGTTGTCTCCCTTGTTGACTAACAATAATCCCTCGCACTTTTCGGACCTGCAATAATTTATCGCCGCGCTTTTGCATCGCCGTTCGGTGCTATCTGTACCAGTGATGTTCTCAGCTCGCATATATCTCGCGGTCGCGCGGAGACGTGTGTGTGTCACCGCGGTATGTGACCCACGTTAAATTTGGAAGGTGCACTCAGGACGTCGCCGTTCTACCGACGAGTGGCACGCAAACCGATTGTTACGTCGTCGCACCTTTCGAATGTCACGCGAGGAACGACGGCGAGACGGATAGGCGAAAAACTGTGGCACGCGACATTTTAATGGATATAGTATACTTAACCCGAGAAGGCTTTTAGAAAAATGATGGAATTTCAGATGAACAAAGACAGTGGTCTATGTGACTCGTATCGAATAATTTATTTCGAGACACGAAAGACGAATATTTATGTACTTTATCTACGTCACATCAACTGTTATGTTTGATTCTACTTTCCGTGATACTACATATTGTTATCTCGGTTAGGTATTCAGTTTGACAAATAAAGGAAATTCGAGTTTGTTAAAATTAATGGAGAGCGAGCGACAGAGTAGAATCTGAAAGCAGCAGAGCACCTGAAATAGTTGCTAGTGTTACTAAAGATAGGATAAGAGAATCGTTACACTTCGCGAGCGCATCGTGTGTTATCCGACGCCATCTCGACGGAACGGAATATATATGATGTAATGTTCTCTTCATGTGACACGCTTCGAAATTCCGTCGTGAACTTTGAAGGTTCTACGGCGCGCGCGCGCGTTTGTGTATGTACAATGAAGATACTTTGAGAGTGGCGAACCCAAAATGTTGGAGCGGAAATGTGATTTACGAGACGGAAGCGATTTATTGCCTTTCGTTGTGAGGTTGCATAATATCATGTCAGCCAATTGGAAGATAGAAGTTACTTATTCTCGGTTTCGATATATATATATATATATAGACACGGAACAGAAGACTATGTCGAATGAAACTGTAAGAGGCATTCTCGATTATGTGCCTCAGGATAAGTATACATGTGTATCTATTGTGATGGTTTTTAATGATTTCTACCTTGCACGGAAAGAACGAGATTTTGCTGAGTATCTAAAAATTTAGCTAGATACAGATCTGAAAATAATTTTGTTGAACAATTAAAATAATTATGTACTGTTAAATTTATAATATCAAGTTCTACCCAATCTGAGTTACTTTTAATCGTTTTTATAGGTCGCTATTGTTTCCTCTTAATATATCGTTCATTTGACTGAAACAATGGAGTCAAAAAATTTAATTCAAGAAAATGTATTAAATTTTAACACACATAGAGGTTAAAAATAAAAAAATGTTATTTAAGTCAAGGAGTTGAGTTACCATTACTCCTTTGACATCTACACTGTTAAATCTAGAGTATCGAATTTAATTTAATTTAAGTTTTCACTACAGCTTTCAATATATCGTTATTTTATATTAAATTATATTAAGTAGAAGTAGTGGCAACTTAAATTTAACGCTAGATTTAACGGTAGATATCAAACAAGGAACAATGATAACCCAATGCCTTGAGTTAAGTAACATTTTGTTATTTTTAACTTCCATGTGTGTTAAAATATAAATCAATCCATTTATAGTTACACTATAGATTTAACAGTGTAATAGTGTAGGAAATACAAATATGAGAAATGCTGCAAAAAATTTTGACATAGCAATCAACTTACTTCCTATATAACTTTGATAGTCCATTAAAATTATTTTCTGAATTATTAGCTAAATTTTTTTTGGATTTAGCTGAATTATTCAACTGCATTTAGCTGAATTTTTTAATACTTCAGAAAAATCGTTCTTTCTGTGTGCGCTTGAAAAGGAAAATGGAACAATAGATATTTGTACGTAACCGATAGAGCATAATGCTAAAAGATTAGTATAGTGCGTGACTAACACACGTGGTTTTTTTTGTAAATGTAATGCACGCAATAATGACAAAAAAATGTAACGAGAAGTTAACGAGTAATCGCGCTCCATTATTTAAACTATGGATGATTATATTAATCGCTGAAGAAGTACAATTTCATGTTTCCGAGGAATGAACTTTTCCGCTCAGTTGTGAAATGCCATTATATAAATTCGCCCTCGATCTACTTTTATGATTTAATAACATCTTCCGTGATCTTAGAACGTCATTACGTCTACGCGATTTCGCTGAGTCTATTCTGGTGCGATTCGCGTGAGAATGGACCTAACGACGCATCGATTCGCGATTAGTTTTCGGGAGATGCGCGTCGGCCCTCCGGGAGTTTCACCGCGGTGCAGGTGGTGTCGCAATTTATAAAGTTTACGAACGTCTTGCTAGCCGAATTGAATTCTGTTTGTCACGTGTTTTATCCGATATTCGCAGCTATCCGGCCTTCATCGTAAACCCCCATTTATCGTGAACGAGGCACTTTGCAAAGACGGGAAAAGATTTTGCAAATCCAATCTCGATGCGCTGAAGACTCCTTTCCTCTCTTCCTTCATTCCTCTCTCTCTCTCTCTCTCTCTCTCTCTCTCTCTCTCTCCCCCCTCTCCATCGCATTTGTTTTTTCTCTTTCCAGGTTTCCTTATTGTTCGCGTAGAGAGAATGCACGTGCATAGGACACGTAGTGGGTACGACCGCAGTTTTGCGGAGTGGAAATGCATTAGGTAGATGGAACTCATAATTGGAGCCGCCGCATGCACGTGCATCCACCTGCTATATTTATTTCTTTTTTTTTTTTTCGTTTTTTTCCCCTTTTACCTTCGTTCTGCTTCTTCATCTCACTTCGCGGAACGCCCTTCATACGTTTACCTTAACGTTAGATAAAAGCGCAGCTTTATATTTTCGCGACGCTGTTCTCGACTTTGTTAGCTCCTCGCGCGAGTATTTTTGCACGCGCGCATGTATGCGTAGGAACGCAGCCGGCACGACGGCACGATTTTTCCGCCTTTTGCGGTCGGACGATGTATGCAATCAATTCGCACGTGAATAGAATCGCAAAAAAGCGTAACATGCGTGCGGGCGTGGCGTTGACTGCCGATTGCCAGCAATGAATCGCGATAAACCGGTCGCTTGCGATAATCAATCGGCGATCGATCATCGTTTCTCCTCGATATTACAGTAATTATCTACAATGTCGAACTTGATTACCGCGGTTAACAATCTGAAGCGGTTGACAGTATTTCCACGGGTATATTATCCAAAGATATATTGAGTGCATTTAGTACCATTCACTGAATGCTCAGTGAGCAAGAAAGGAATTAATATGTTTATTTAGTATAATATTCGTAATATAGAATAACCTTTATCTGTTATAAATATAATCTCTAATATTATATTTCTTACTTACTTATTACTGTTTATTATTTCTCTAAGACCGTAGGAATGTGAGCGATACGAGCGTAATTTTATGTTGCTTACATGGCCTTAGAGAAACAATAAACAATAACAAGTAAGAAATATAATGTTAAAGATTATCTATAATAGATAAGTTATTCTATTATAAATTATGATATTATGATATACTAACAATAATAATAATAATGTAATATAAAAAAGGCTGTAGAAGTCAACGCTGGTTATAATTAGCGATAAATTAAATAATGATCAAATATATTATCTGATACATATATAAACCTTGTACGTTTCAACTCTATTTTGAGTCATCTCATGATTAGCTACGTCATTGCATGCATGGATTGTGGAGATGTTATTTTGCGATGCAATATCTATCTCTTTTTATTGTGTTGATGGATGGATTGAATTGCTCAAGATGACTCAAAATAGAGTTGAAACGTACAAGGTTTATATGTGTATCAGATAATATATTTGATCATTATTTAATTTATCGCTAATTATAACCAGCGTTGACTCCTACACCCTTTTTATATATTACATTATTATTATTATTGTTAGTAATTTAAAGGAGTAACTACATATTGTGGTTTCAAATTGTGTTATTGTTAATTATGATATTATATTATAATAAATATCATAATATTATAATAAATTAACATATTAATTCGTTTCTTGCTCACTGAACGTTTAGTGAGCGATTCAACAGTGTAATGTTGTTAAAGAGAGGGAAATTGACCGTCTTCACGCTCCTCTCTAATTTTTGTATACCACACACAGAGAAATGTTTGGTATGTATATTTACGTTGTTAATATGTGACTAACAAAAACTTTCTTATTTTTTCATTAAAAAATTGTGTTGTTCTAATCAGAATTTGGTTAGAATAATCAAATGTTGATTAAAACAATACAATTTTTGTTATTCTAATCATATTTGATGTTCTAATCAAAATTTGATTACAATAATCAAATTTTAATTAAAACAACATAATTTTTTAATGAAAAAGTGAGAAAGTTTCTGTCATATATCAACAAAATAAATAGTTATACATACCAAAATATTTCTCTTAATGCATTAGATATATTAGATATGGACTATTTAGATACGTATGTGGTCCATGCTTTGATACTGTCTACTCGTGCGAGAACTACTCGACATTTCGATATCGTCTGTCGCGTGTACGTACGAATGTGCGTACGTGTATGTGAATGTGTGTATGTGTGTGTATGTTACGTGTACGTCTACATACGTGCACTACGTACGCGTGTGCGAGATGTGTAAGCGCAAACGGAACAAAGCCACGTTAAGCTGGTTGCGATTGGTGTGTTGCAGACACGAGGTGCCTGTCACCTCGGAGCCGATCACGGTGATACACATGGACGAGGACGTCGTCGTGGTCAACAAGCCCGCCTCCATCCCTGTAAGTGGTGTACTGCCAGAACTGTACTGCCAAAAAATTGTTTGTCGTATTGTCCAAGCCACGAAAACATCACATACACGTATACGCATATACACACACACACGTACTCTTTTGCATGTTCCTCGACACTTTCCACGCAACCAAATCGCTTAACACTCGAAGTCCGCTCTCGCGTTTCAGCCTCTATCTGAAAAATTCCATAAGCTGTCTTTACAAGTATAATATATACAACCGCAGATTTTTACAGAAAATTATTCCTAGAGCATGCTTTCGCAGGGTTAAAGTCCCATCGCTGTTAAAATTTAGAATTTCCAGACTATTCTTTTGCACTCTCACTAATGAAATTTTCCATCGCTTTGTCTATATATATATATTTGAGTGTACCCCATAAATTAAATTCTAGCGTGTCTCAACTGGGCCGCGCAAACTTCCGTTCCTTCAATGTCGACCTTCTGATTTCGTTAGCGTTCTTTTATTTCCTTCTCTCTCTCTCTCTCTCTCTCTCTCTCTCTCTCTCTCTCTCTCTCTCTCTTTCTCGACGCATGGAAGGCGACTAAATCGCCACTAACGAGTCGTTTTTCAGACGGTGACTAACAAAACAACGCGGTTTACAGATGTTATGCGTCAAATGTCAAGGGCCTCTGACGAGTTTTGCCTTTTTAAAATGCAACATTTCGACATCAGGCGACCTCGGTTTCTCCTGGTATACTTCGGGATACGACACAGTTATGACTAAAAAAGGGAAAAAAAAGCATGTGGAGAAAAAAGGAAATTTAGAATTTACACGCACACGCAGGCAACTCGCATAAATATCCCGCGGTCGCGAATGCACTACGGCCGCAAACGCGCGAATAAAACTCACTATTAAAATGTTAATCGTGCGCATTACGACGCTCGCAAATCACGAATAATTTACTCCGCGCGCTATTATTGCCGCTCCACGATAATGTCGGACTTTGCGGACTCCGCTGTAAAAATACATAGGTAAAGGACAGGAGCGTTTCTCGGCGAGTATAAAATGCAATACCGCGAGTCCGATGCATTAAACCGGTGATATCGGTGATTCATTGGCGTAAATTAACGGTTACGGTGGTTTCCTCGGAACGAGTTTAACACCCTTTCGTTTTTCCACTTCGTAGCAATTTTCGTCTCAGTTATTTCAATTCGCAACGATAATAAACGCGCGACGACGTATACACCTGCCGAGAAAATAAAGCGTCCTAAAGTGTCCAAAAAGAAGATGGGCTTCGCGAGGCCAGCTTATGAGACTTTAACGTACTCTTTTACTTTCTCTATATATCTTTTTACCCTCTGCTCTTTTTTCTCGTTTTCGCTGTCGGGACCGTTAGTTGTGCGCCACCGCAGTGGTTGCAAGTTTTATTCTCCTACGACGGGCCGCGAGGCTTTGCTCGGTGATAAATACGGACTCGGAGAACTAAGCTCGGCCACTTTTCCTCTCAAATGTCACCGAATGTACCGGTGGCTGCATCCTCGGAGAGGGATCGTTAACAAGAGCTTGCGCAACAAAACAGCCGGGCATTAATGCAAAAATAATCCGACGCGCAAGTAGGTACTCGGCGAAGCGCGAGCGCGATGCACGACTTAATGGTTCGCTTTCGCATCCATCCCCGGTTTCTCCAGTAGTTTTTCCCATTTTTGCCCTGCCGCGAACTGCGAAGAGATCTCGGCCGCCCAACAATTGAATTAATTTTCGCGTGCAGACATCGTTAAAACCGTTATGCAATTGTGGCGCACCACGACTTTATCGTGTCGCTTTCGCTTCCTTGTTCCCCTCTCTCTCTCCCTCTCTCTCTCTCTCTCTCTACATGAATTGTGACAATAGCAAAATTATTCAACTTTTTCGTATCGCGTTTAGATCATTTTAACAGTAACGCATTATATTATAATTTCATTTATAAAATTTTAATTACATTAATATTTATGTTAGTATAATGTATTTAGATTAATATATTTATATTAGTAATATAATATTATAATAATAATTTACTAATATATTTACATTAATGTAATATTACATTTATTAGAAAACCATTTGCATTATTAGTTACCAAAAGAGCAATGGTAACTCAATTCTTCGAGTTAACATGATATTTTGTTATTTTTAACTTGTGGCATGTATGTCAAAATCAATCCATTTCTGTGGCTGGTTTCAACATAAACAGCGTTCACATATGAATGCATTTAGCAAATAATAAACTAAATTTGAGTTGAAGCCGGTTAAAGCGACTCACTAATTATATGGGAAATTGGGTCTCGGTAAAATGAATTAATTTTCACATGTAATGTAGGCTTATAATGTGATGAATAAAAGATGTCATGACGCAAAGAACAATAATGAATTAATAATGGATGGTTTTTAAGCTATGATGTATCAAATGTGTAAACTTGTGTTCCAAAGCAGCTTTTTTTTTTTTTTTGATATATAATATCTTAAAAATTATCCATTATTAAATCTTGTATCTATAACATCCTTTGTTCGTCACATTAAATAGGACTCAATTTTCCATACTGAGAAAAAAATTGTTCATTTGACGAAATTAATTTTATCAAATAAACATTTTTTCTGAGTGCACATAATTAGTGCGATTTAATATATTTGTTTGAATTAAATTGTTTAATTCCGCTACTTTAGTTATAAATTAACGGCATATATATATATAGAATAGGAGCAGTAACGAAAATAAGTATAATTTGATATTATGAATTTAACAGTGCAATGACGGAGAAAACAGATTCAGTTATATTTTTAGATTTTACGTAACAAAGTTTTACGCCGGGAAAATTCGTCGAGCGTACGACAAAATTGTAAAAAATTCGGAATTCGTTCGCTTGCTCGAAATTCTTGAAATTCATTTTATGGCGGAGAGAGGAATGTACGGAAGGTGTAAAATCCTAGCGGTGGCGAACAGAAAAGTGCCTTCGATCGCCGGATTATTGTAGCGGTTCGCCGAGTCGCTGGGGGCGTTTGATAGCCGACGTACATTATTGTGCATACGTGCACTGTGGTGCTGATAGACGCGCGGACTTATCCAGCCAGGAAGAGTCCGATACGATCCGCCAGCTAGTCACCCAGCCGGTCGTTGTACCTACAAATCCGCATTGTCGGCCGGAATGCATAAAGCTCGTCGTTCCTGTGCTGTGCCATACTGCCATACCGATTCAAAACGATGAATCGACCTTCCTTTGTAGACGTGAGTGCTTTTTGTCCCGAATTTGCCAGGAGAAATGGGTCGATCGCTCTTGCGTGAATGCGTACACGTATGAGCGTGTGTGTTGTGTGTATGTGTGTATGCGTGTGTATCTGTGTCTACATCGAATTTACATTGGCCACATGCCGATGCACTGAGTACATTCATTAAGTAGTGTAAGCTCCATAAATTTACCGCTCACATCTCGTTTCCTGAAGATATTCTGGTTACTTTATGAAAAGTTTAGCGTGAAATACAAGAGTAATTCTAGGTGCCTCGCGAACTCATATTGAAATTATGGTTGAATTGTAATACAATTGTGTTGTGTGTGCAATTACGGGTATTATTACCGTGAAAATGATAATGACTACATTTTTATGATAATAATGACTATAATTGCAATTACACTATAATTTAACTATAATTTCCGTGTAAGTTTGCAAGATCACATCTAGGGATTACTTACGTATTTCATAAACTTTTCATGTAGTTATTATTATCATTTTTATAGTAATAATAACTGTAATTTATAGTCATTTTTGATGTTAACTCTACATAGTTTTTGATAGAACTACATATAGTTATTATTACTAACATAGCAGTAATAACCATAATATTGGTAACATGTAATTATAGTCACAATACAAATAATATAATTACAGATATAAAAACTTTTCTCTCAGAGTAGGACGAAACTACATAGATTGTCTTGATTTGTCCTTTTCTAGTATTTAGTTAGACAATTCTGGGATTCTTAGATTATATCTTTTTTTAGCACTTCAAGTAAGCAGAGCGCGAAGCGAAAATAAAATCATTTGATCGTGTCTATGTTCGCAGGTTCATCCATGCGGTCGTTATCGGCACAACACCGTAGTTTTCATTCTGGCGAAGGAGTACAATTTGAAGAATCTTAGAACTATTCACAGGCTGGATCGGTTGACCAGCGGCATTCTCCTATTCGGCAGAACGCCCAAGAAGGCAAGACAGATGGAGCACCAAATAAGAAATCGACAGGTTGGTTGCATAAGCGTACGTCTCGCAGATATGCGAGAAAAGAAACATATAGACGTGCAGCTGGCGTCGCTCGTCCGTCGTTAAATGACGGAGACGCTTACATTGGCGAACGAATACGACGGCCGTAATCGTTCCGTACGTTGTATGTCGTATCTTTACATTCCAGGTCCACAAACAGTACGTGTGCCGAGTGGAGGGTGAGTTCCCTGAGGAGGAGGTAATTTGTTCGGAGCCAATCGAAGTCGTCTCCTACAAGATCGGCGTCTGCAAGGTCTCCGAGAAAGGCAAAGATTGCGTCACCCGCTTCAAGCGTCTCAGCTACAATGGCAAATCGTCGGTGGTGCTGTGCAAGCCACAGACTGGACGCATGCACCAGATCCGCGTCCACCTGCAGTACCTCGGCTATCCCGTGGTGAACGATCCTCTTTACAATCACGTGGTCTTCGGCCCGCACAAGGGAAAGGGCGGTAATATTGGCAAGACCGACGAGGAGCTCGTCCGGGATCTCATCAGCATTCATAACGCCGAAAATTGGCTCGGTATGGACGGCGATTCTGATATGAGCCTGTTCAAGCCGAAACTGGAATTGGAGGAACGCATGCTGGGCTCCGGCAATGACAAGGACAACGGTTCCTCGCCATCATCCACCCCGGGTTTGGTCGAGGACGAACAACAGCAACAACCACAACAGCAGCAGCAGCAGCAGCAGCAACAGCAGCCACAACAGGAATCCCTCAAGGTCACCGTGGGAACGCAGACAGGCTCGGAACCGCCAGATTCCACTTTCGCCAACGACAAGGTCACCGTTGACCCGCACTGTTACGAGTGCAAAGTCAAGTATAGGGACCCGAAGCCGTCAGATCTGGTGATGTATCTGCACGCGTGGCGTTACTGCGGCCCGGGATGGGAGTACGAAACGCCGCTACCCGCGTGGGCAGCGAGCGATTGGACCGGCGACGATCGATAGTTCAGACGACGTGATCGAAGACGATCCGCGCGGATTCCTTGGCGAGCAATCGTCGTCGTTGTCGTTGCCGTCATCGAGTCTCAATCCCCTTTTTTGATATCCTTACCCCGTGCCTTCCATCCGCCAATGAGCGATCTTGACCATCGTACGCAAACAAGTACATGTAGACGAATACGCATACATGCAGACATATACACACAGTAGACAAACAGACGTGCATCCCCCTACAACTTGGCCGTCGGACTTTCCGGGATGCTGCGGTCCGAGAGAAATGGAGATTGCTGGAACAATCTCACGTCGCTCGATATGTACATTTCTGCAAACTCGTCGTCGACACGTTGTCGTAAGCGACAATTTGGTGTTATCATGAAGCGATTCCGACGGATCATCGTTTACGCGCAGAAATTCACGCTCGTTCTCTCGCGACAAGTTTACCCGTCGCATGCGTTCTCGTTTCGTTATATATTTCTGGCAAAGTCTCACACAAATCCTTCATGCGGACGATTTTATGCGGGAAACGATCCGAGACGCGACGCTATTATGCGGATTAATCATAGCGAAGACAAAAGACAACCGTTGTTACCGATCCTATTACCGCAAAGCTGTCCCGATTTCGGGAGCCAGTTAATAAATCAGATTATCATTATTATTATTTTTGTCTCGCCGCAGCAATTTTCTGGGTTTCTCAATCATGTTTCCTCCGAGCAAACCTGGAGCGCCTTGTACAATTACGCAGTAAAGTTACGCCGAGATGTCGTAATAAGGTGCAATGTGATTGTTCCTACAATCGTTTCTCTCCGCGTAACAGCCGTAAGAATGTTCTTGCATGGTCGGTTGATCGATGTGGATCTTATAAGTCGCAGGACTTCGTTGCAACTTCCGAATCAATGATGAATATTGATTTTTTTTTTGCTGTCAGACAGATATTGTGACAGATAAAGGCGATCTGTGATTATATTACCGCGATATTTCTCGATCAAAATATTTATCGATCAATATATTTCTCGATCAAAACAATAAAGATGCAGCCGCACAGCGAAGCGGCAAAGATGAAAGATAATTCTATTTTCATTTTAAATTGTGATATAGAAAGATACGATTAACTGAATAATTTTCATTCAATTGTAATGCAAATAATATTTCACGCGCAGAAATTGTATACAAAAATCATTTGCGCGAACGTTCTAGCAGACTGAGACAAATGTATGTTCTGGAAAACGCGATAGTCTTGGCTTCTTTTATAAGCAGCAGCGGTCAAAAAGTCACTGCCACTGGAGCGAGGTACCCCTAACATGTTAGAGAAGATTGATGCATCTGTCGGAGGTGTCATGGTATTCCGATGGATCGTATCATTCATCTTGATTTATGACGTACACAGAAACGTGGAAAGCCACGCGTCTCTTGTCTATTTTCTATGATCGCGAGAAGTCGTTCGGCTCGCGCGCGACTGTTACTCTCCAATCTTACAGAACATTTTGATTCACGAGAGATACCGCTTGATCCATTTCTCAAAATTCCAGCACTTTGCAGAAGCAATGTCTTATCATCTAAGAATAAACGATGGTGCGCGAAGTAGCGGTAGTATGTGACGTTTCGCACTCGATCAGCGTTCGCAGGAGACGTTCTCGGTAAATCACCGTCGTGACTTCGAATTTGACTTCAAAATTGACTTCGAACGGACGGAAGTGAACAGACGATATCGATTATATTCGGTAGCAGTGTTGCTTTTGGCATCAAATCCTCAGTACTTTGGTTTGACAGAAGTCAGCTATAACTGGGAGATAAATTTATCCTCGACGGCTCCGGCTTTGGAACAATTTCAACGAAGCCCTGCGATTTCTGTATTATCGTATAGTGGTTATGTATCGCTAATATACTTATTGTGAAAGATTACCGTAAATGTCAAACGAGAGGGAAAGAGAAAAATATATATACATCGGTATCAATGCTAATAGGAAACTCTCCGATGTGGTATCTTTGTTCAGGGCCGACGAACATGTGAATACTCTATACATGTGAATTTGGCACATGTTGAATTTCCACACATGTCGAGCTATATGTAACATATAAATTTTTAACAAGTAATTTATTGGATTTTTATTGGTGATATTTTAATGAACAATGCTGCGCGCTCCATTGGCTCATGGTGGAATCTTCCTTCCTCTGGGCGATCAATCAAATATGGCAAAGGGCTATTTGATGTGGGAATAGACGAATATATATAAATTTATTTCGTCGGCCCTGTCTCTATTATGCCCGTTTCTATTACTGTGGTTCAATTTTAATTTCGGTTCAACTAACTCTTCAACTTTTTCTAGTTCTAAAAATTAGAAAAAAAAACGAAGAATAAGTGAAATCGAGATTAAAGTTAATCTGCATTGATAGAAACGGGAAATTACTCGTCAGTCTCCTAACGCGCCAAGTTCGCCAAGTTGGGATATCGAGTGCGATTCTCGAAACTGTGGACACCACGTATGGTAATCGGCATTATTTCCTACGACGATGAGACCACGTTCTCATTGAAGACAGTGGTTCGATTTCCATTCACACGTGCGCGAAACGCTTTCGCACGGTTTCGAGAATAGACTCTTTGAATTCAGAACGACGGGAAGAAAGAGGAGGAATGGATAGAAGAAGGAGTTAGAATCATATCCTTCGAAGTGGCATAGGTAGGGGGCTGACGTACGGAAACTGCGATAGAGGTGCGTCTATTTTTATGGCAGATATTTAAGGTGGGGAATCCATGCGCGATGGCATGAGTCCAGCGGCAGGTTTCTCCAACAATAAGCGTGATCTTGCCGGAAGACAGCCAATGATCATGCCAAAGAGCGTGCGACCAGCGAGCTTTCAATCATATCGTGCATAACGTACCTTTTCTCGAGGTCGACGGGATATCTCGAGATAGAGTGTGGCCCTACCGCGCGGTCGGGTCGAAGGGGAGAACACACACAGAAAAATATCACTCTGTTGTTAAGAAAAGTGATTATACACGCACATTTTCTTCCTTTTCAGCAATGGTTATATCTTTAACAAAGAATATTTTCTTGATAATTAATCTTAAAATATATTTATAAATTTAGAAAAACTCATTATTATGTACTCGAACAAAAATTTATTTTTTTTTGAAGAATATTATAAAATTGATCAAAGAAGTGACTTTATACAATAAGCAAATCGAATTTGTTTTAATTTAATAATCTTGATTAATATTAAACTTAATAGAAATCAGAATATATTTTGAATAAATTTGACGCTTGTGATGAACTATGATAGATTTACGGATATATGAATATTTGAAATACTTGAAATACAAGTAATTATTACTAGCTTGTACAATAAGTATTTTTCTGTGTGCAAGGTGTTTCGCAACAAGTACAATCCGAGGAGCGAGAGTGAAAAATGCGAGAGCAAAACGTGCTACAATTTTATTTTATTACGAATCGTCGCGTTCTCTCGTCTCCGTGCGTCTTCAAGAGGCTACGAAAGACACGCGAAGCGTGTGAGTTTTCAACTTCCATCAGCTTCCAAGTTGCAGGCTGCCCCTGTCCGTCGTTATTCCATTCGTTATCGCAGAAATTAGTTTCCATTTACATCAAAACTCAGATAATTTCATTTGTAACGTCATAACTTAGTTGAATGCGCGTTCCTTTTCGTTTTAACAAGTGATGTTCAACTGAGTTTTTTACCTACAATCTATACAAGCTCGAGACCGTATGCTTTACTGATATCCATTTCTACCAACGTAGATCAACTTTAATCTCGACTCAACTTACTCTTCATCCTTTTTTTAATTCCAAGAACTAGAAAAAGATGAAGAGTTAATGAAACCAAGATTAAAATTATATTACACAGATAGAAACAGACATGTGAGTCTTGTTAATTCACATTAAAAGTGAGATTATAAACTTGTATTGTTAACTTTGAGATAACTTTGTCACCAGAATGAGCAAGTAGTAACATCATTATCTGAATAAAAAATGCTCACATGATTTTAGACTCAATGTCACTCGCGTGAAAATGGATAGCAACTATCGTTGTTGCTGCTGTTTCGTGAACCTTTGATTTCCAAACGATCGTGCTGTACATACGCTTGTTCTGTGCGATGTCGAAGAAAACCTTGTACACGCATACGGGATCTGTTTTGCGTCATTCGGCGCGATAACACGCGGCACAAACGTGTACACAAGAGCGGCGGACAACGACGGCCGAGTAACAAAAACACGCTTCGCGTGTGACGCGGGCTGTAGAGCCTGTATTTTAGCGTTGAGAGACCGTTAAGTCGTCGTGAGCAGTGATGGGAAGTGATCCAGAAACGATTGGGCGAAGTTACAGACGCGGCGGATGCATCAGATTACTATGCCTTCCGATGAAATTAGCGACTTTTTGACTCTTAACGTCATAATCCAACATACATCTCTTTTTCTAACGGGGCCAATTCACGTGCGACCGTGTCTGGATGTTTGCCGAGGGATGATTTCCGACGACACAAGTGCTACGACCTACGATTATTATGCTACGATATGCCGTATCAACGATATTTTAATTAAATTAAGTTCGTACTGCCGCGACATATACGCTGTTAATTTACATTTAGTACGGTCGGAAATTGTGTGTTTGCTAAGTATATCTTTAGAATAGCTTCCCATTTTAGTTTAGAAACGGGAGCGTGAGAGCCTTAGGAACGACTGCTTTTAGAGCTGGCGAGCTATTAACTTGATAGATCCTTTTTAAAAAACCTAGACACTCGATGGGATCAAGATACGACCACTGAAAGAGTTATGCTTTTTCGAAGTACTTAAGGCTTAACGCTGAATGCTATACAATACTATGCGATATGTTAGTGCCTAAAAATGTTCGAGAAAAATGTGCGTCGTTAGTATGATGCCTAGATATTTTTTCAATCTGGAGCGAGCACTTGGGATGAATCGATCCTGCCATCACTGCCCGCGAGAAAAGAATAAAGGAGAAGCGAGAATAAAGAGGAATGTAATATTAGATGCGCAACGGAATGAAATGTGGATTTGGTATAGATAATATAAATATATGTACACATAAGATGAAAATAAGAGAATGGAGGTAACGTAACACAACGGACCTATCATAAAAGACAGTGTGTGTGCTTACTAACACAACCGGGACAGCTCACCTCCTATGGCGAACTACCCCGAGAATGTAACGGCTAGCTTAAATCTATTATTTAAGTAACTAACGATAATTCGAGAAACCGCGAAAAAGACAGTTCCGACTTTAGTGGCGCTAAGAGAGAGAGAAGGGAGTGAGAGAGCGGGAGAGAACGAAAGAGAGTGCGAGAGAACGAGAGACAGGGAGAGCAGACGCAACCGGTCTGCGGAACGAGCGAACGTGCTTTTGTATATATGTATTGTATACGCACATTGTACCGTATATCTAAAGTCACATTATTATCCGTACTGTAGCCGGCGGAACATTTAGTGCTAGCGAATTCTCTTGTATGATGAACGAATAAATGCAAAGTATCGTTCGATAAAACTGCGGCGAATATTCTCGTCTTCGGATGTACCCAGTCTTATGTTTCACTTTGAGCTCGCAAGTAGCACGGTTTGCGTTATTTGAATCGTATGCATGATTCATGAACGAGAGGTTCGACACTCGTTTCATTCCAAACGCTGTGACGTTCGGCAAAAATATTCCATTCAATAGCCGTGTCATTTATTTCGCGTAATATATCGTCGATGTCGTTACCGTTACTATAATTCACGAGCTCTCTCTTCGAGAGCCCGCAATGTGAGATGTAACGTAATTTCTACGAAAACCGCGCAACTGAGAGCGTACTATTTGCATAAGAAAACGCGGGAGGTAAATGTTAGTCTTACATGGCTCTAAGCAAACTCGGCCAATATTCGAGGATATAAATCGAATTTTCTTATATTTTTTCGCGCACACGATCCTTTCTCT